TGGGTAGCCTTGTATTAATATTTTTGTTTATTTATTTATTTATTTACTGACCTTATACAATTTTATTTACTTTATACTGCTGTAATTTTTTTTTTTTTAATTTTTTTTTAATGTAAAACGGAAAAACACAATAAAGTATATAAAAAAATATATATACAGTTGCGGCGCAGTCTCCATATGAATGGCCAGACTGCTTGAAGAATTGTATCAGGCTATTAAACTAGCAAATACCAAAACTTACAATACGTTTAGCGCTTTGATCACCCAACGCCCAGTACAAGTGTTAGTAAAAGGTGAAATTTTTATTGTAATTTTTGCAGGTTTTGGTGTTGGGAGAGGAAAAAGTGCCCTGAGTGCAATAACTGAGGTATGTAAGGAAGGCATTCATGCTTCAGATATCCTCACCCGTGCCCTACTGTGGACGCTTTATTAAAACCTACCTTCGTGAGGTTGACAGTTTTGTTAAACTCTTCCCGTCTCCATTAAGAGATGTTCCAATTAAAGGCAAAAACACAGTGCTATATAATAAATGTTTTAATGTGATATTATAAGTGTTATACAGTACAGGTATAGGTGTGTCAATCGTTGTGGCAAGAAAACCCTTTCAGTTTTGCGTAGATAACCTTTCAGTGTAAAATATGAGTTTCTATAGAAACTGTGGTGCTGCGTCGGTGGAAGAGCATAACAGGGTAAATTAGCCACCGCAAAGCTGACGTTTCGAGCGTTAGCCCTTGGTCTTCGCTCTCGCCATCTTTGGTCATTTTTGTTTTGTTTTTTTTTTTTACTTAAAACTTCTTAATTGAATGTATGGCAAGAAAAAGAAATAATAAAATGTAAAAAGCAATTGACTAGTTGACTAACAACAACAACAGCGAGGAAAGGACACTGATTATGAAAAAAAATTAATTTGCGGTACTTTTGAGTTTTGCATAAACTGACATTGTGTTAATTTCGTCCTTGTTCTTTTACCAGGCAAAGAACAGAGCTGTGAACTATCTTTACCATTTTGAACGTTGCGACAACCACACAAGTAAGTTTTCGCCTCCATCGAAACCCTAAAAAGTTCCGACGTAAATGTATCTTTGATTGGTCACCTTTTTAAACAGATTTTGCGCAACAAATTGAGGATACCTCAAGATATAAAAGATACTGATTGCGTTCCACTCAAACCTTTGCAAATGGAGCCGTCCAGTTGGGGGACACTTCTCACAAGCAGACATAGCTTTCGAGCAGGCCCTATTTATTAGCTGCAGGGCGCACGCGTTTCTCTGCGCGCGGGAAGATGTCAGACGAGTCGAGGAGAGGTTTGTCGGGAGATTTATCACGACTAGATCCCTTCCAGACTTCTCGCCGGCTAGTGCTCAAGGCTTACACTTTCACACTTGCGAAGAAACGTCTGTGCCGAAGTGCATATAATGAGGACCTGCACGGAAGCTAAAGCAGACACGATGTTTTGTTCCCAGCACCCTGGAAAGACAAACAACAACAATGGATTAATAATCATATCGTCCTGACTGTGGTGTGCTGTAATTTAACGTTTTCCTTTGACCTTCGTTGCAGTTTTTCATGACATGGAAACGAAGTATCACTGCACAAAAATAAACTTTTTCAGAAAGCCACGAGGTATCGTACAACTTAGTTTGAAAACCTAAATATTTTACTACTTAAGATCTTGGTGCTCTTTTCTCTAACGTTGCTGTGTATTTCCGAAGATCTGAGCCATAAAATAATATTGTATCAGAGTACAGTGTGCGCGTATGCCTTTTTGATTCTCCTATTCGGTTAAATTTCTTTTTTGACGGACATAGTGAAAAGTAGAGAGAGCAGGTTGGCTGGTTGGTTTGGGGGTAAGGGATTTATTACTTTAGATTGTTAAAAATTGCTAACCAGAATGCCCTCCAAAATGCACAAAATGGCATTTGAGCGTCTCTAGATTAACGAGGTTACCTATTCTTGTTTGTTTGTTTGCGCTTTATTTTTTTTTTTGGTTTTTGTTTATTGTTCGCCTTTGTTTTGTGCTCATGAGAAATGAAATTAAACGCACATCTGCTTTTAATGGCGATAGTGGCCCAGCGTCTTTCAAATATTTCTCATCGCCAACAAGCTTTCGCACTTAGAGGGATGATGTTAATTCAATTTGTATGTCTCTCCCAGGCTTTGGACTTCGCTGCCATCGAGCGATAAAAGAGATCGCAATACTCATCGGAATTGAAGACATGCGCTGTAAAGTGTACGGTGAGACGAACCCCATCAGCCTCGTTCGCGCGGTGTTCCAGGGACTGCTTAGTCAGGTAAATTTTTATCGGCGCGCAAGCCGTCGAGAATGAAAGGAACTTAGAGGGACCATCTAGTTGGAAAGTTCAGTTTTTGAATGGCATTCACTTGCTCAGCGGCAATGACCCTGGTGCATTAGTGCTGGTAGGACATTATTTTTAAAACAGTTTAAAGTGATCGTAAATTATTTTTCTCATTGACCAAATGCAACACAGGCTGGGGTTGGCCGTTGGTAAAGGTCTATATCCTGTGCCAGGGCTTAGAGAGGGCGCGAAAAATCGCGAGAGTCAGGCAACGAAAAATTAACAAGTAAATAATACTCAACTAGGGATCGACCGAAACATCATCAAGGCGCTCGCTGACGGCTACCCGGTCTAACTTTTATTTAGATTTTTTAAAATTATCATTATTATCAATTACCTTAATGATTATCATCATTTTTATCATAATCATGTTTTGACGTTATCTCTGATCCATAACTGAACGTACTCGCGACAAGACGGATTCTATTAGATTAATCTAGGTACAATATCGTTGCAGGAGACGCATCAGCAGCTTGCAGATCGCACGGGCTTTAATGTAGTGGAGTTCAGAGCTGAGTGTGGAAATAGGCCCATGATTGTGGCCTCACCAAGTGATGAGGCCCGAAACAAGGCTCTCAAAAAGAGATCTGAAAAAGCGGAGTACAACTTTAACGAGGTCTTCGATCCTTACAGAGGACTCCATCGACCTAAGAAAGTGGTTGACTTGTTTTAGTCTTCTGCATTTGGAATGATTCAGAACTAGTAATGCGTGTGCTCAGTGTACAGGGAACCCTTCGATTTTTGAAAATTTTAAAACTGACGAGAATTCCCTCGATTCAAGAGAAAAGAGCGTTGTATTCACTTTTACTGTGAGACTTAGAGAAAATTATTCTCATCAAATTTTACTGACATAGAAACGATACAGGGGGTTGTCGGTTAAGGAGTGTGGGAGAGAGCTAAGGAAGATGCTGGGGATCTTCTTCGGGTTGTGGAGCATGTTAAGCAAATTGTCAAATCAAGAGGTCTTAGTTTGACTCTCGTTCTCCAATAAAGCCTCTTGATTTGACTGTGCCTTTGTTTGACTCCCACCCCCCACCCTTACCCCTCCCCCTCTTTCGAGCCCCGTCGACTCTGTTATCTTGTCCTTAATTTTCTCTTCCCTTATCTTAATCAAATAACTTTAGCTGATGAGGTTTGTTTCCCTCTAATAAAACAGGTCAAATTTTTAAAACATGTTCTTGTCTTTGTAACCGTATTATTTGCATTACTGCATCTCATCGAAGGAGAGAACATATTCCTACAACGGAAAGCTGCCAAACTCTAGAACAAAATTTTATACTTAAAATCGGCACTCTTGATCCCTACGGTATCAACGAACGCTCTTCATTCGGTATTTTCTTCCTCATTACAATATTCCCACCAATAGCGTAGCTCCATTTTCTGCATATAAACACTCAACTCGCAATTCCTCCGTTCACTCTTTCGAAGGGCAAACGTTCGAAACGTCACCTTTAAAAACTCTTTACGGTGGCCATTCTTCACGATCAACTCAGTTGATAAAATCGAATTATCTTGTTGTACTCCCAGTGTCCTATAACACGTAGCCCGTTCATTCATAAATCGACACATTGGGTTGATACTGACGGTATTCCGCGTTTTCTGTCTTCCTGTCTATGTGTTTGGTCTTCTCATCATTTCTTTTTGTTTTGTTTTGTTTTTTTGTTTTCCGTGGTACGGGTGATGGCATATTTGCAAGGAAGATATCGCGTCTTCAATAGTCCATTTTACAGTTCTGTGCTTGGTTGCCAAGCCTTTGAATAGGAATGAGGCTAAGGGTGATCTCATTATGATACAAGCCTTGCTGCCTTTCAAATGCAAATTACTTTGCTATCATGCTAACTAGAAACCAGTCTCTATAACAACAAGGTCACCTTCAATGGAATGGAAGCTGCAAAATGAAATATTCGTCAACAAGAGATTATAGACAGCTCATAACAACTTGCCGTCAAGTAATTTCTCTCCGTTATTTGAGGGAAATATTTACTTTAAAACCTCTCGTTATCCCTACAATAACTTTACACCTTGATTTTTATTCAAGCATACCTAATCATCCTCTTAGTAACGGTCACTAAAATATCCCGTTGAGCTACTGAAAGTCGATTCTTGTGTCTCAGAACTTTGGTCAGGTAGATTGAATTATTTAGCAGTATGTTTAGATACGCATGCGTCAAGCTTATGATCACGTTAACAATTGCTGGACAGGTGTGCCAAGAATCGAGTGAATCAGTCTGCAAAACATCAACATTAGATTTCTACACTACCATCATTTTTCTTAACTTAACGCATTCTCCGACTGATTATTCAATTCCTTGAGGGTTTTTTCTCCGGCCATGGTCCATCCTGCTCAGAGTTGGATTTTAACGGTTTTACGCTGTAACTGGATACCCTTGATAATTTATGCAAAAGGTGAGGCATAAAGTTTACCCCTTAATTCCAATTTATTTTATTTGCTACCGTCGAACATACAACAAACGAGAAGTGAGATTCTTTTCCGAAGTGCAAAAAAGTCAGAAAGAGAAAAACACACGTTTTTGAAATAATTTCATAACTAGAAAAAGAGTTATTTTTACATCAGTCCCAAACCATATCTTGTATGTTTAAGAAGTGATATCTGCTAAACTTTTCTGCGGCACCTGGTCAAAATATTGACCATTGCAGCTGTTAAATTTCTTGAGCAAACTTTGCCCGACTATTTACATTGACAATCCAGGAAAGAAATTCGCGAATGGAGCTTTTTCAATGGCATACATGGCCCCTATATTTAGAAAATTTACTTTAATGTTTAGGAAAATATCAAGGTCTAATCAAATTTTAATCTCGTTACAATGTGATGAAACTAAAAGTAATTATATGATGCAGAGCGCATTAAGTGAGTTAGATTACGGGGAAAGAACCAAAACTGTAAAATTCTCAGTTTGCTAAATAAAATTCATTATTTTTAGAACAATTATCAAAGAAAAAATTAAATCATTCAAAGAATCTCGGAAAGCGCTCGACAGTTCACTAACACCATTTACTCGTTTTTTTTAAGATTACCCACGGTCTATTTTGTCAATTCAAGAGTGTATGGTTAATGTTGTGTCACAGATGGCGAGTTTTGATTGGTTATGAAAGCCTAACGAACTCAAACAGCTGTTGAGCATTCGAACGCATTTAAACAAAACCAATATAGAACAAAGAAAGATATCAATTTTTAAAGTTAAAAAAAAAGGCCTCGGGCGTCAATTGGCTGAAACAGAACAATGCCAATAATATATGTATTGATTTTTACGCTTCCTTTTTTCTTCAGTGAAACATCCATCTGATCAAAATTAGAATAAAAAACTAAAAGCAGAAAAATGAATTGATAAATGATGATATATAATTCAAATATGCATATTCATTACAGGACACGAGAAAGGAAATCAAATACACTTAATCACAATTAAAGTCTAAGAATAAGTTTTAAATTGATACAAAAGATAACCGAAATGAGTGACGACTTTACTCATTAGGAAACTGATGTATCATTTTCATAATCGATCAATGATATGCCTGAGTCGCTGAACAGAGCTCTCTTTTCTGTTTGATATCAATGACCGTCTCCTAAACGCCACAGGACTATATGAACCGCCTCTTCCCCCAATGGTTCGACAGAGAGTGATCCTCAAAGAAACGTTTCATTATCTACATGCACCTTCCATTGGAACACTTGCAGCACACGATGTTTTTGACTGCACCTTTGAATGCCTCAGCAATCCTCTATGTTCTTCTTTGAACCTGGCTTCCTCCAAAAGAGCCGACGGTACATTATTGTGTGAGTTCTTGTCTTCCGACAGATACAGAAATCCGAAGGAATACAGAAGAAACCAGAGTTCGCACCACTTATATTTTAAGGTTAGTTTTATTGTTGAGGTTGTTTCGTGGACATTCCTTTTTACATTCCTCGCTCATTTCTATCATAGACATTAACAATGTAATTCAGTTAAATATATCAACACACCCTTTCAGTGTCTCTAATTTACTCCTCATTCAAGCTTTAGAAATCTTGTATTATTTGCGCTCTGAATATTTATTACATCAATTTTGAAATCACTGGCGATCCTTACAATCTGATTGGCTCTCATCCGTGTGATTTATTAACGAGACCTTTACTAGAAGACAAAAACCAATCAGATTTCAAGGCTAACCGATCAGATTAGAGAAAAATGAAAGACAACTTTTGTAACTTTTTATAAAATCAGCTTAGTACTGGATCAATAACATATTTGTACAGACTAAAAAAATCCTTATTCGATTGACTAAATTTTTGTGAGTTAATAATGGATGTGTCAAGTGCTAATTGAACTTCGTGACGTACATTTCTGGTCTGAAATCGTAATCATGATTTTAAATCACTCGAACGATTTCAGACCAAATTGCACCCCACTCAATTCAATTGTAATTATTAATTATTTGATGTTTATATCGTTTCAGTCGCCTTGTTCATCGTATCCTTGCCAGAATGCAGGTGCTTGTGGGACAAACAATCGATATGATACCTTTGAATGCTTCTGTGAGAACGGTTTCACTGGAAAGTATTGCGAGAAAGGTAACACTGTTGAGCATATAAGTAATGAGTACATAACGATCTCACTTCCCACTAACTATAAGAATTTGACTAAATAAAACCCTATCCACATGCGAAGCTAAGCAATTAATTTGAATGTGATATTGTTAACCCAAAGGTGTGCTTTTGTAGTCAGGTTGCTTTTAACCAGTTTCCATCTGATGCAGCTGCTAACTTGTGATTTTTTTTTATTTTCTTAAAGCACTGAGGTCTTGTAAAGATATATATGACGCACATAAGTAAGTAGCGCGCGTTTTCATAATCATTACAGAAACGGCAAAAGTGAGGCAATTATCACAATGCCATACAATATCATCATCATTATCATAATTATAATTATTATCATGATCAGTACTATTAATTTTATTATTATTGCTATTACTGTCATTATAGTATTGCCAATGTAAGTTTGTATCACTTTAAAAACTCAGTGTCCGTGACAAGCTTAACGTGAGTCAGTTGGTCACTCTGATCATAAGCGAGAAACCGGTCTCTGTTCTTTGTCACATGGGAGATTTTGGATGTGGAGATGGAGGATGGACGCCGGTCATGAAG